ACACTTCTACCCCTCACACACCCCTCACACTTCTACCCCTCACACTTACACCCCTCACACTTCTACCCCCACACTTACACCCCTCACACTTACACCCCTGACACCTCCACAGCAGGACAGTCTCATTTAGATGTTCACTTTCTTTATAAGTGTAGAACTAACTTTTTTCCCCCAAATGAGAATTTTATCATTTTTCTCACTACAAAATCTCTGTGAAATACATAACTGATTTTTAAGCAGCTGTGGTTGGATAATAATTTATTTCAGAACTTTCGATTTTAGTTGAAATTATTTTAGAGATGCAAATCCTGTGAGGTTGTCATCGTGTCTGTAAAATGTTACTGCATTTCCTTTTCCTTGTCCCATGGTTGTTAAAGGGTCTGTTTTAGTGACCGGTAAAGAGACTTCTTATTCAATAGGGAATCAAGGAACAAGATGCACAAGTACCTAGTGTGAATATTTGCCTGAAGCTTTGGATGCGCCACCTCAGATTGTCACTTACTCACGGACTTGGATACTAAGTTGATGCTTTGCTTTTAAATGATGACATTTTCCTCAATTTAAAGTGCACTTCAGCCCCCTCCCTCTATTTCTGGTTATCTGGGCCCCTTGAAGCTGCCTGGCAAGAGTAAAGCAGCACCTTGTTCAAATGCCTGTCTCGCCCTGTGTGCTGACCGCAGCACTCTGCGGAGGGCCCCAGGGCCTCTGGCCATGGCAGTCTGTGAGCATCACCCCTCCCACCGCCTGTGTGGAAATGGCTCCCACCTCCACTTTGGGGGCCACGGGTACTGGATGCAGGCGCAGACATCTGCACCCACGGGCTGGAGCGGGGTGTGTCCTCACCCAGTTCCCCGGCTGGGAGGCCGCTGGGTTGGCTCTGGTCTTGTCCTTGGCTGTGGCCCCAGCTCCTGACCCTACCTGGTCCAGGAGGTGCTCCGTCCAGATCTAGCACGCTTGGCGCTGTGGCTCCAGGCCCTCGGGTGGTTGTCCTGCCATCACGTCCGTGTCCACAGCAGGAAGGATACTGAGAGGAAGGCGGGGCCGGCCCGCCCCCAGTGAGCAAGTGGTGTGGCAGCTGCGAGGGAGGCTGGGAAATTCCCGCCGTCACGGGCAGTGGCGACCAGCCCTGACATGAGGTGGGGGAGCTGCCTCTGGGCCGGACCGTCATTGCCTCGTGGTAATGGGTGACTGCCTCCTCACAGGGCGTCTGAAGACTGTTTCAAGGAACGTTTGTGTGAAAGTGTTTTGTACTGATGAAGGGCTGCATGTTTGTCGTGACGAAATTGAATAAAGAAAGACGCAAACGCAGTCCCCTCACGCCCCTCCCCGTGAGGCGGCCGCGTGTAGCAGCTCAGGGGGACTCTTCATGGGGAGGACACAGACCTCCTGCATTCGGCCTGCTGAGTTTTTTCCTATTGAACCGATTTTGGCATTTCTGTGCACTCTGTGGGAACGTAGAGCTTTTAATAGGGCAGGACCACACCTCATCAGCTTATCTTTTTGGGGCAGCAGTGAGAGGCAGAGGGAGGCGAAAACGGTTCTGTGACCGAGTCCAGTAGGTAGGTGCACAGGGGGCGGGGGGAGCAATGGAAAAAGTTTCCAGAGTGTTCTGAGATTCTGTCAAACGGCATCCACTACCGGCACCTGTGAGTTTAGTCGCTTCTTAGATGCTTCGCAGGCATGGAACTTCCCAGGGGCTGGGCTGATTGCCTGGTCCCGAGGTTTGGGCAGACGTGCCCCCTTGGGAGCTGGTTCTAGCTCAGATTAGGGGCTACGAGTGTCTGCTGTAACTGTCACTACCACGTGGATGCAGTGTGGAAAGTTGTTTTTTAAGGGATGAAGGCCCCCACTTGGGTTATTTCATCTCAGTTTTCAGTTTGGGCAGGAAAGCTGTACTGCTGACAGGTGTCGTCATGATTTCTGGGGGACTTCCTTCTTGCCTGGGAGCCAGGTGCTGTGTCTAAGGTCAGTGTGTAGCTCCAGTTGTGGACGTGGGGGCTGCGAGCTCCGGAGCATCCTGTGGCACACACTCGGGAATCTGCCTCCACACCACCCAGCGTTTGCTGCCACGTGTTCTTTGGTAGCCCCCTTCTGCCCCCCGTCGTAGATGATGACACAGGCATTTCTCAATGTACGGCTGGGGTCCAGGCTGAAGACGGCTGAGGTCTGCACGCCCACCCTGCTGAATCCATGGCCACCTGTTAGAACGCCTGCAGCCCTGGACGTGCAGCTAACTGTTTGCTTTTCATCCCACAGAGTCTGTAGGAGTGGGGGCACCCGGTGTCCCAATGAAGAACCAGAAGGAAGACATGGAGATCGCGTCCCACTACCGGCACCTGCTGCGCGAGCTCGACGAGCAGAGGCACCACGGCGTCCTGTGTGACGTCTGTGTCGTCGTTGAGGGCAAGGTCTTCAAGGCACACAAGAACGTGCTGCTTGGGAGCAGCCGCTACTTCAAGACGCTCTACTGCCAGGTGCAGAAGACGTCCGACCAGGCCACGGTCACCCACTTGGACATCGTCACGGCCCAGGGCTTCAAGGCCATCATTGACTTCATGTACTCGGCCCACCTGGCACTGACCAGCAGGAACGTCATCGAGGTCATGTCTGCTGCCAGCTTTCTGCAGATGACGGACATCGTGCAGGCATGCCACGACTTCATCAAGGCAGCCCTGGACATCAGCATCAAGGCCGATGCCTCGGACGAGCTCGCCGACTTCGAGATTGGCGCGCCCTCCAGCAGCAGTGCGGACGCGCTCATCTCCGCGGTGATGGCCGGCAGGAGCATCTCCCCGTGGCTGGCACGGCGCACAAGTCCCGCCAACTCCTCCGGGGACTCGGCCATCGCCAGCTGCCATGAAGGTGGGAGCAGCTATGGGAAAGAGGACCAGGAGCCGAGGGCCGATGGCCAGGACGAGGCGTCCATGCCGCCGTTGTGGCCTGGAGACATAGGCTACACGCCTCTGCGGGTCAAAGAGGAGCAGGTATCGCCGCCTCATTATGAAGGGAGTGAGCTGCCCTTGGGCAAGGACAGTGTGCTGCAGGGCACCTTCTCCGAGCAGGGTGGTGGGGACAGCTGGCAGCCCACGGGCCGCAGGAAGAACCGGAAGAACAAGGAGACCGTCCGTCATATCACGCAGCAGGTGGAGGCTGACAGCCGGGCGGGCTCTCCGGTACCATCCTTCTTGCCGACCTCGGGCTGGCCATTCAGTAGCCGCGATGCAAGTAAGCCTTTCATTGGTTGCGGACGCGGGGCTGAGGTTGGCGGGTGCTGCTCAATTTGTGGGTGGAACAGCACGTGTCCAGCTCACACCGGGCACCTCCTGGGCCACCTCTTTCCCAGTGAGGTGGTGTGAGCACAAGATGCTGCCTTCCAGAGGCAAGGGTGGCTCCTGGCCATTCCCTGAGATAGCACGGGCAGCACTGAGCACACAGGCTGCCAGGTGGGGCCTCCCAGAAGCCGGGGTTCTGGACAGGGAGAGCGGGTGGCACCCGAAAAGAGCTTCTGCAGCCCTGTGGGGGACAATGGGAGGGCAAGGAGGACTGGGATGAGGAGGGTGTGAGGGTGGGGGCCGAGGGAGGGTGTAGGGGGAGGATGGGGAGATGTGGAGAGGGTGAGGAGGTGAGGGGGACCAGGTTACAGGGAGGGTGTGAGGGTGGGGGCGAGAGGGGCTGGGTTGAGGGGAGAGTGGGGAGCGAGGGCGACTGGGGTGGGTGGCGGGGGGAGGTTGGGGGCTGGGGTGTGACGTGCAAGGTTTGCCTTGCTTTGCATTGGAGAACCTTCCATGAGCACTGAGTTTGGTCACTTAATTTTAACAGATTTTAAAGAATTTAGGAAAAGTTAAAGAAAGTGACAAAAGGCATGTGGCCCTCCCACCTGATTTCCCACCACCAGCTTTTGCCTTGTGGTCGTTGTTGCCACAGTGTTCAGGCCAAAAGACGCCATGTTTTTTTCTTGGAGCCACTGCACCTGGTGGGGCCTTCGTGTGGCCCCCTCAGACCCCGTACAACCCACTGGACCAGTTTCAGGGGCGGCTGTTGGCTTGGCCTGAAGCTGGTTCTCACGCTCTTTGAGACACTTTTCATCTGCCACACAGACTGGTAGATAATGAACAGATGTTTGCTGACACCAGGTGCTGCTCGTGGTGCTGAGCGTGTGAGCGCCGTGACAGCGAACGCTGAGCCCTTTCCAAGGGGCAACTGCTCTGACTCACAGCACGGGGAGACCAGGCCTATCCCCCCACATTCCAGGATGTAGGTGGGGATGCCAACACCTGTCCTCACACAAGTACCTGTGAGGGGAGGTGCACAGGTGTGTCTGTGAGGGACACACAGGTGTGTCTGTGGGAGCACACAGGTGTGTCTGTGGGAAGCGCACAGGTGTGTCCGTGAGGGGGAGCGCACAGGTGTGTCCGTGAGGGGGAGTGCACAGGTGTGTCCATGGGGGGCGTGCACAGGTGTGTCTGTGGGGGGCAAACAGGTGTGTCTTGGGGGCACAGAGGTGTGTCCATGAGGGGGAGCACACAAGTGTGTCCGTGAGGGGGAGTGCACAGGTGTGTCTGTGAGGGGAGGTGCACAGGTGTGTCTGTGAGGGGAGGTGCACCAGGTGTGTGTGAGGGGGAGTGCACAGGTGTGTCTGTGAGGGGAGGTGCACCAGGTGTGTGTGAGGGGGAGTGCACAGGTGTGTCTGTGAGGGGAGGTGCACCAGGTGTGTGTGAGGGGGAGTGCACAGGTGTGTCTGTGAGGGGAGGTGCACAGGTGTGTCTGTGAGGGAGCACACAGGAGTTCACAAGGGGAGCTGGGCATGTGTCAGGCGAGGGACAGTGACCATCTCCGATTAAAACCTGAAAAGCAGCAGTAACACGGCTGAATGACTTAAGAACGAGCTCTTCAGTGTGGAATGTTCTAGCGTGCACAGAGGGGATGAGAGGGGCTGTTGCCAGGCAGTGGCACCTTCTCCTACATGTCAGGGGCCAACTTGCCACACGTGCCCGTTACGTCACCCAGCGATTGCGGTGCTGGAGGCTTCTGGCTCGGGCATCTTCACGTCTGTCTCATGAGGGCTGGTTAACCTAGAAAGAAGTAGTGGCCCCCGAGCTGGTGGGTTCCGTGTTGAAATGCAGTCGTCAAGCAGAAGGTGTTTTTAGAATCAAACAAGTGCTCTAAGCCATGCACTTTGTTAGTCTTAAATCCTTTGGGTTTCCAAGGCAACTGTGGAACGCTTCTGTGAGATGAGGTTGAGTTGCTAAGAAAAGGAGCAAGGCCGTGGGCTTGCACGTGGGGCAGTCCCTGCCCATCTGACAGTGGCTACAGACCAGTCCTCTCTCCACCCTGGCCGGCAGGGAAGGGAGATGGCAGTGTGGACTGCGGTCACTGGTGGGGGTTTGTTGTCGTCGAAGATCTGCTACATCATAGGGAGGCGAATTTTTTATTCATTTCCTGTTTGCAGGAGAAAAGGCCTCTCCTGACGGAAGGTGGCAGTCGGCGCCACTGACCACCAGGGCCCCCACTGGCCGTGCAGACCCCAAGCCCTGCAGCGAGGGGTCAGCGGCTCACTCTGTCCCTCCGTGCCCACCCCTGGCAGGTGGGGACTCTGGGCCTGTTAGTTTTTAAGAGCGATTTTCCAAACAAAATGCCAAACACGTTCTAGCCTCCAAGAAGCAGCTTCCATTGAAATTTACTTCCAAGTTTTGGCAAGCAGTTCGTTTGTGTATTAATAGTTCCTGGAAAATAGCATCAAAATGTGCGCATGTGCTGTGCACGCATCGTCGGGGCCAGTGGTGGTGAGTAAGTGGTGGGATTCTTGCCGTCCGTGTGGGAGACCCGGCTGGGACCTGGCGAGCAGAAAGGACTGTGGCCGGTGCCCCTGCCAGCGCCTCCTGCACTGTCTCCTTCCCTTCACTCTGACCCTCCTCCTCCCTCTCACTTCTGAGGAGCCTCTGATTACACTGGGACCACCCACATAATCCAGGACCATCTCCCATCTCAGATCCTGAACGTCTTCCCACCTGCAGACTCCAGTTCCAGAGGTGAAGACGTGGACGTTTTGGGGGCCGTTATCAGCTGACCACATGGGGAGTCCGTGTAATCAGGAGGTTTTTTGTGAAAATTGTCATTCTTTTCTTAAAATGTTTTAGGTATAGCTTACCTACAGTAAACTTCCCAGACATCAAAGGTGCACTTTGGGTGATTGTTTGTCCCCCCAGTACTTTATGGAGGAAATATTGACACTTACAGAGACAAGTTGAAAAGTAGGCATATGCCCACCCCAGATTCCTCAGTTGTTAACATTTTCTGTATTTGCTTATTACATATTTATCCACCTAAAAACTGGGCGTAGATAGAGCAGAACTGCCCCATAGGGTTTCCAAGGAGTGGCTGGTGGATTTGAACTGCTGATCTTTCAGTTAGCAGCTGAGCTCTTAACCACTGCGCCGCCAAGGCTTCTTTATCCATCTAGTCACCCCAAAACCCATCTTATTTTTCAGTACATTTTAAAGTAAGTTGCAGATGTCAGTACATTTTACCTAAAACACTTCGTCAAGCAAATCATTATTTAGAATTCAGTATTTGCTTGCAGTTTTTTAGGCAGAGTTTACGCACCACGGGATGAACAAATCCTAATGTAACTGAAGTGGTGGCGGTAGCAGTAGCAGCGTCAGGACCTGTCTAACTTCAGCGGGGATAACGACCAGGATCAGCCCAAAGCCGATTCCCACCAGGTAGAGGTCAGACATACCTCCACTCTCCAACCTTTTACCAATTATGACACCAGCCGTCCCTCCCACAGCACTCTGATTCTTTTCTGAGTTTGATAATCCATTGCAGTGAGCACACAGAGCTCATAGACCATACTTACAGTTAAGTGGTTTATTAAGGAAGTAATAGTGTAAAACTCAGGATCAGGATCAGGAAGCACGGAGGCAAAATCTCCCTTCTTCAGTGCAGGACAGCTCTCTCAGCTCCTCTTGCCCCTGAGGACAGAGATCCCCTCGGTCCCCTGAGGACAGGCTCCCCTCGGCCCCCTGAGGACAGGCTCCCCTCAGGCCCCCTGAGGACAGGCTCCCCTCAGGCCCCCTGAGGACAGGCTCCCCTCAGGCCCCCTGAGGACAGGCTCCCCTCGGCACCCTGAGGAGAGGCCCCTCTCGGCCCCCTGAGGACAGGCTCCCCTCGGCCCCCTGAGGACAGGCTCCCCTCGGCCCCCTGAGGACAGGCTCCTCTCGGCACCCTGAGGACAGGCTCCCCTCGGCCCCCTGAGGACAGGCTCCCCTCGGCACCCTGAGGAGAGGCCCCTCTCGGCCCCTTGAGGAGAGGCCTCTCTGCCTTAGGCCTTCCTGCTGTTACCACTGCCTCTGCCACTGGGCGCCTTCTGGGCCTGTCACTGTCTTCAATGCTACAGCCCTTGACCTGTGTTATAGCACCTTTAGGAGGTTCCTTGCCTCCTCTCTCTCTGCTTCTTCCTCTTCTCTCTTCTTTTTTCCTTCTACTTCCGTCAGCTTCCTGTCTGAAAAACCTCGTGGGGTTGGGTGCATATATACACAAACTCCTTGTCAGTTTCAAGCCATTCCCCCCAACCTGTGGAGGCCACAAACTGACCAATCCTCTCTCATTAGGCCACAGATACATCATTTGCATAGTTGGCTATAGTCACTTCATTTGCATACTATATTGACCAGTCCCTGCATGGTGTGTACCAATCAGACAGAGTAGGCTGCAGCCCAGGGCCAGACAAAAAGTATCAAACCAAGTTGTTTACAATTTACCCAGAGAATATAACAAACCCTCTAGGGTAGAAAACTAAGGCAAAGATAATTCCTCAGGGCTTAGGGGAAAGTCTCTCCAGCTGTTTTTCCAAAAAACGAAGGCAAAAGGCCACATAAAGGAACTCATTCACCACAGAGCCTTTTGATGGTTTCTGCTAAATGTATGCACCTGTGTAACCCAAACCGATACCAAGATCTAGAACATTCCCCCAGGAGGTTCCTCATGTCCCTTGCCAGCCAGTTCCTGTCCACAGGGCCCCAGAGACAACAACTGTTCTGGTATTTTCTGTCATGGATCAATTTTCCCTGCTTAGAACCTCATCTCCATGAAGCCACACTGCTCGTAAGACTGCTGTGTAAGACTTCTTTCCTGCATCCCAGGTCCGAGGTTGACCTGTGTTGCTACGTCTTTGTGGCTTGTACCTTTTTTATTGCGAAGTCGATTCCAGGTGCGTGAGTATA